TCGAAGCTACCAGCATGAGTTTGACCAAACTGCGGGAGGCAGTGGAAGGCAGGAGTGCCTGGCGTGCTCTGGTCCATGGGGTCACGAAGAGTTGGACATGACTAAAGGACTAAACAACAACAATATATCAGTGGTTCACTGCTGGTTGTGGAAATCAAAATGGTGGCTAGAGCCAGCTGCCTGGCACTAAAAAAGCTAGGGAAGGCATTGGTTGTGGGCCCTGTCAGGGTAGTGGATCTGGGCCGCTGATTCTGCCCAAGGATCTCAAGTGCTGATGCCACGACTGTATCCGTCCACAATGTTGAGAATATTATTGGACTGGGTAAGTGTCTAATTCAGCCCTCTGGCAGATCCATTCCATGAAGAAGTACCAAGCAGTTTGGCTGGATGAATGCAATGTGTCCAAGACATTAAACTTTCCAGTCTGGGTGGGCCTCTTTAAGCATAAAGCCTGTTATTTCCAGCACTCCCAGAACAAAGAGGTGGATCCCTGTGTTAACTTTTCAGTCAGTTAAAACGCTTTTAAAAAAAATTATTGCTGTACAGAGAGAACAATTATTTTCCCTCCTCTACTGTTACCTTATTAAGTCTCTGAAAATGGTCAACATATATCCCCGTTTAATCATCTGTTCCATAGGACAGACATACCCAGTGCCTCAAGATTTCCTCATATGATTTGTCTCCTCATCTGCTTTGTTGAATATCAACCCCCCCAAGTTTAGGTCTTTGTAAAGGGAATGAGAGTGGAAAGTGTTGGGCTCTTTCCACAGATTTAGCTGGCCGACAGCAAGATTCCCTGTCATATTTCCAACCACCAGCATTATAGGCAAGGATTTTTATTGTTACGCAAAGAGTTGATCATCTAGTCCAACCGCCTGTGATGCAGAGATATACAGCTGTTCCATGAGGGGATCGAACCTGCAACCTTGGTGCTATCAGCACCATGCTCTAACCAACTGAACTATCCAGGCAGTAAAAAGAGTAAAAGGACAATTCCAGCACTTGAGGAGGGTTCAGATCAGGGCAAAGGAAGAGTGGATATTTCCCAGGGAGAATACCAAGGGCTGGATGGAGAAGCCTGGAGATTCTTCATTCTTGTTCTAAGCTCCAGTGGTGCCTGATGCCCATTAGGACTGGTAGGGCCGGGGCGGAAGGCAGGGAGACCAGCAGTAAGTGCAGCCACACACATCTCCAAGTGTTTGTAAGGAAGAAGGCAGGCAGGTGGGGGCTTGCTGAGCACAGGCTGAGGTTGGTGGGCCAGTGTCCCATTTGCTTCCTCTGCTAACCACTGCACCACACTTGCTTTGATAGACAATGATTTAACAAACACATTTCTCGAAACACATGAACAGTTTTCTCACAACACAGAAGTTGGGAATCACTACTGTAGGATAGGGAGGTATAACCAGGGATTCTTTTTCCAGTCGGAACTCAGTTCCAGCATCTCTCAGGTGGGCACCATTGCCATTACAAGGGAGGCTTGCATGGCGAGTTCCGGCACCTTTTCTTCCAGAAAAATAGCACTGGGTATAACCTATAAGCCACCATCTTTGTCATTGTCCAGATTGCTTCCACCTGCTCTTCTAAGGTTACAGGGTTAAATTAGCTGGCGACTGGAGTCATTATCAGGTGTACACTTGCATTTTAATGAAGGTTTCCGTCTCACTTATTTGCAGGATTGAAAGAGTGAAAAAGGCAAAACAAATAGTTGTTGCTGTGTTGCAGGCAGGGTAGCATTAATTTTCTTTTTTAACAGAGGGAAAACAGGCAAAGCAGGATTAGAGGCTGGGAAACAAATTAAGAGGCAATAAAAAAGAGATCGAGGAAAGTTTGAGTTGCCGTGCCTCTCAGCAGAGGTGGGACTGGGAAAAGGGCACGTTGGTTTGGTTTGCAAGGTGTCCTGGAATCCTTTTTCAGGAGGTGTAGACAGAGAGGTCATGCAAGTCGTTAACTGCATGGAAGAAAATGGGAAGCATCATTGTGGAGTACTCACCACTTTTAACTGCTGGAAGGTGTGCCCTGAATCTGTCAGCAAGATTTCAGTCTGTGTTTTTCAGATGAAACAGTACAGCAAAACAGATCAAACTTCACTTATTTTTGTCTGGTCCCCCCCACCCTCGTTCCCTGCAGGAAATGACAAGCTCATTTTACATGTGTGTGTTTTTTTTTAAAAAAAATTAACATTTCCCCATGCCCCTGTATAATTTAGCTTTCCCTGTTAATTGAAGTTTTCATCTTAGAAAAAACAACCCCACAACTATTAAATAGGATTATCACCTTTTCATTCTAATATTCTTTCTAAACAGCCTATACATATCCCTGTCTCCTTTATAATATGGTTTTGATCACGTTCAGGATGCAAAATACCCACTTTTCTTAACCATCCTAAGGCCATATGAAGCCACTCTTAGGCTGAAATCCTGCATAAGCATACTTGGGAGTAAGGCCTGCTGAAGTCAGAAGGGCTTGCTTCTGAGTACATATGTCTAATATTGCACTACTCCTATTCAGGTATTGGGTTCATGAGTGAAACAACACATTACGGGCTCTGCCAAGTAGCCCCGCCTCCCAAATGAGGAATGCCTTCTGCTCTCTATGCGTACAGGGCAAGTGTCTGTAGGAAGAGGGCATTTCAATATATGAGTCCTTCACACAGACATTTCTGCTATACATGCAGACACGGGGGGCAGGGATCTACTCAGTGAATGGACTACTCAGCATGGCTCCTTTCCTTGGTTCCATGTTGCTTTTACTCTTATGTATAAATGCCTGAATAGGACTGCCGCTTTGGGTGGTGGTTTCCCATTGGGCAATGTCCCCACAGATCTCTGCCCACCCTTGCTGGGGCCACATGACTCCTGTAAGCGAGGCCGCAGTTGGCAAAATGTTTATTTCCACATGCTCAGTGTGCAGAAATCAATCAATAGATGCAGTGGCTAATCATGCAGGATCTAGGTGTCTTTTCACAGGGGAGCAATTCTGGTGGAGGAATATATTGCATTTCCCCAAATGCTTTCCACAACTTTTTATAGCTGAGAGTCTTTTCTTGTTGGTTGTACTATGTCAACTTTGTGGCTGAGATGGGCCACGGCTGGCTAACAGCTTTTTCATCACGATGAGTGATGAAACACCCAACTTTCTGCACCCAACACTAGCAAGTTTAAATTAACTTTGTCCTCTCCCACCACCAGTGTCTTCAGGGGCCAGGTACTCCATAGGGCAGATGGGGGAAACCTTTGGTCTCCAGAGATTGCTGAACCACAGCACCCATCGTCCTTGGAAGTTGTAGTTCAGTGACAAAGGTTCCCCACTCCTGTCATAGGATTACAGGAAGCAGCCTCATGCCAGGTTAGCAGATTTTTCCATCTGGCATAGGATCGTTGGTAGCAGGGTCTCAGAAAGATACCTTTCCCATCATATGCTACCTGATTTAAACCAGACATGCTGCAGTTTGAACCTGGGCCCTTCTGTATGTAAAGCATAACCTCTATCACTGAAGCAACATTCCCCCCCTTCACCGTGTACTACCACAATGCTTACCCAGCTGCTCCCCTACAAATGCACTTCTTGGCAATGATGGCCTTAAAAAAAAATTCTTCTGCCAGCCCAGAAGTTCCCATCCAATCCAATTTGCATGCGAAGAGCAGCATGTCTCTCCACTTTGCAGAATGTGGCTTGGATCCCTTGCATACATGAGACAGAAATTTGCACCAAGAACCTTTGGAGCTTAGGATGAGATCACTTTGAAGGGTATCCTCTGCTATGACACCCTTGCCACAGATGCACTACTGCCGAATAAAGAGTAACATGCTGATAGCACCAATCTAAAACAGCAGAGGGCACTTGCTGAAACCTAAGGAGCATAAATGCTTTTCTTAAGGGAAGGAGCTCAAGTCTGACAGATAGTTTTCAGAACCACAATGGCATTTATCACTGCATATCAAGGGTCTAGTTCCCCATTAGCTAACACCAGCTACAACATGTTCTCTCTCTCTCTCTCTCTCTCTCTCTGTTTTTTTAATTCAGATTTTGCAGCTCATTGTTGGAGACCCTGAACATAGCTATGGTAAAACTGAAACTTTCTGATTCCAAGGCAGTTGTGCTGCTGCTCATAAAATGAAACTTTCAAAATCCAGTTATCAAATGTTAGATGATAAAAAATATTTATAACTTACCTTTCCATTAAAATAATGCTCATGACACCTTTTTTTCATATGATTAAAACTTTAAAAATAAAAGGTGTCAGCAGATAAATTTCAGAATCCAGTATGTCATGGAGATGCAAACCAAAAGCAATTCAACAGGTCCTGCTGGCTATTATATCTCCTCTTCATCTCCTCTTTTCCAGGCTAAACATACACAGCTCCCTCAACCAGTCCTTTTAAGGCTTGGTTCGCTTGATCATCTTGGTTGCCCTCCTCTTCACCTGTTCCATCTTGTCAATATCCTTCTTAAATTGTGGTGCCCCAAACTTTACACAATATTCCAGGTATGGTCTGACCAAGACAGAATAGAGTGGTACTATTACATCCCTTGGAAGGGACTCTATACTTCTGTTGATGCAGCCAAGAATAGCATTAGCTTCTTCTTTTTTTGCTGCTGCAGCACACTGTTGACCCGTGTTAAGCTGGTGGTCTACAAAGACCCCCCTAGATCCCTTTCATATGTACGGCTGCTCCAGTGGAGCAACACTGGAAGGGTGACAGTGATGCCAAGAATTGGGGTGGTGATGCCAAAGGGCATCTTGCTCAGTTGTCCTTTGCAGCTTGAAAATTTCACTGTCTTCGGCCTATACTTTGCTTTTGGCATATACAGTGGTACCTTGGGTTACATATGCTTCAGGTTACATACGCTTCAGGTTACAGACTCTGCTAACCCATAAATAGTACCTCGGGTTAAGAACTTTGCTTCAGGATGAGAACAGAAATCATGCTCCGGCGGCGCAGCAGCAGCAGCAGCAAGAGGCCCCATTAGCTAAAGTGGTGCTTCAGGTTAAGAACAGTTTCAGGTTAAGAACAGACCTCCAGAATGAATTAAGTTCTTAACCCAAGGTACCACTGTACCCCTAAACTTCACTGACCTTGTGGGTTTGATCCTGCTTTCCTCTATGTTCATTTAGCGATGATTCTAGCAATCAGCATTGTTCTGGTTTCCGGCTCACTTCCTGAGATCTGCCATTTTAAAAACGATGGGCTCACCACCCTAGAAGTGAAGAAATGCTTAAGTCACTGGAAACGGATGAGAAGCCTGCAGCAAATCCTTGCAAATGCTGGTGTGGCACTCTGTGCTTGCAACTCTTGCTGATCCAATGTAAGCACAATGTGTGGGGAGGGGGTGGGGGAGAAAGAGGGAATATTTCATGTGGCTTTTCAAACGAGAGAGATGTCAGGGTGCTCTTTTCAAAGAGCAAATGAAAACTCTACAGAAGAGAGGTACGGCTCAAATACCTGGACAAGGTCCTTGATTTTTATTTTTGATTTTTACATCAGTTGTTTGATCGCACTGCGGGGCCAGATGAGATGCTGATGCTTGCGTCTCTGCAATGAAAAACATAATGTTAAATTGCCTTGTCTAATCAAGGAAGAGGCAAGGCCTTGCATGTATATTTAATGGCAAACAATCCCACTGAAGGGAAGGTGGATTATTTCCATAGACATATCCTTGCGGAAGGGCCAGCGCTGAGAAGTATTATCCTTAGCTGCCTCTGGCATCAGCAGCTCTGATCTCTCCAGATACCTTGAGAGAGAAGGTTGAATAATAATTACCCAGACCATTAAGGAAACAGCAGTTCCCTGCGAAAATCTTCGCTTTGAGTTTCCAGAATTGTCATCCTTCGTCTTGTTCAGCAACCAAATAAAGAAGGGCAGGATGTCCTCTTGGAACTGTGAACTGCCCTAGAAACTCAGCAACAATAACTTGACACCGTGCATGTCATCGCAACTGGTTATGCATGTCGGCTGTCAACACTGGATTGAACCAAGATGCATCAGTGTTGTTTATTCATTTTCTTGCATCGTTTGTCAAAGAAACGACAGACAACCTCATTTCTTGCAGTATCATGTCCATGCTGCTCCTATAAAGATAACATTGTGTTTACAAAGGGTTAAAGACCCCGCCAATAGAAAACTCCAGAAGCTTTGTATTTAAGTAGTCCTACAGAGTGAGAGTCCCTAAGATGGTTGGATGCACCTTATTTGCATCCTTTTGGCAACTCTGGCAGCCAAGATGGTGTCAAACGTATCGCTCTGCTTTCCTTTAGACCATGTCTGTGAGGCTGGGTGTGGGGTCTTGTCATCTGGGCAGCTCACAGCCTCCATGCCCTGGTTCTGTAATGCCGCTGACTCCGGTGTGGCTCTTCAGGGTGAACAACCTGTTAGCCTGGCATAGGCTGAGCTAATCTTGGACTGCCCATCCTTGGCCACCTGTTTCCTTCATGACTGTCCGCAGTGAGAAGTCTAGCTATAACTCCTCCACCCCAAGGCACACCTTGGCCAAGTCCTTCAGTGCTCATGCAGCATTCCTGATGTTGAAGTGCATCAAGATCTGGAAAGGAAACAAAGATTGTTGAGTGAGGCTAACATCTGGTTAAGGAAGGGTGTTTTCTCTCATCTGCTTGGGCTAGCTTCACTGAGGAACACCATGACTCAAGAGGACAACCATATAGGGCTCCCTGTTCTTCAATGGAGATCTCATCCCAAGGGAGAGATGGGTGGCTCCTGCATGGCAGATACAAACTGCACATATCTCCTTGCAGGTGCCAACCCTACCTTGAAACATAGAGAGAGGCCTTAGGCGGCAGATCATGCTGAGCGGAAGAGCGTTGACTAGATATTGGAGGTCACTGTGGCCTGCCCTGTGCCCCATAAGCTAGTCTGTTGCCTACAGGTGCAGTGGAAGATTCTGTTGAGCTTCTGTGTGTGAAAATTTGTGTGTGTGTGTACTATCTTGTTCTTTGCTTAAGGCAACAAAATGTCTCAGGACAGCCCTGCTCCCTGCATTTACATCACTTGTCTTTGGAACTGTGGGAAGAGATGGACATATAAAGTTAGCCATGCCTCTTCTCTTAACTCTTAAGAAGAAATGAAGAGCCCTGCTGGATCCGGTTAATGACTCATCTAGTCCAGCATCCTGTACCCACAGTGACTGACTAGGTGCCTGTGGGAAACCCAAAAGTATGGCATGAGTGTAAAAGCCTTCTCCCACTCAGAATTCCTAACATTCTTCTTTGGAATGTGCAGCAAATTAGTTCTTAGAATCAAAATATTCCAGAAGATCTGCTCTTGAAGGGTAGAGAGTAGGGGTTATGAGGAAAGTGTCCCTCCCTCTCTGACCTCAGTTCATTAAATGTGTACAGAATCCAGTCTCGGGCTAAAAGTGCCGCCATAAATAATAGGTCAAAATAATGCATCGAGGCATTGGAGGTTGACGGCCTTTGGAAAAACAAATCAAGTGCCCTCCAGCCTTTCTGTATTAGATCTGAAAGAGATAATCCTCTTACTGTTCTGCTTCCTTCATTAGAGGAGATTTTTAAATATGAAATTTGAATCCTCTCTTAGCCACAGGAAAAGTGCTTTGCCTACTGACAGCTCACAGTTAATTGCGGCAACAGGGATGAAAGGATAGTGGTTTAATGATATTCACCCCCCCCCCCGTTTGAAAGTGGCCACAATGGAGTTTGAAAAGAGATTATACGTTTATTTTTTAAGTTGGAGAGATGTATCTCCAAGCTTAATGTTTCCTGACTCATTTCAAGAAACGAAAGCTAAGAGAAGCTCGTAGAAGACACAATTCCTAAGGAGCCACTTACAAAAATTGGCAGTGTCAAACCGCGGTCATTTTCTTCGTCAGGTCTTGGCTAAGTCGATGGAGAAAGTAACTTATCTCTGCTGTCTATGAGGTGGCAAGTCATTTTGTCAGTTGCAAAATGAGTGCGTTCTCTCTTAGCCACATCTGCTGCTCTGCTCTTTCTATTTATATAGCACCTACAACTAGGTGTTTTACAAATTAAAGAAGGGAGAGAGCCCATGGCTCAGTGGCAGCGCATCTGCTTTCCATGCAAAAGCTCTCAAGTTCTGTCCCTGGCATCTCCAGGTAGGGCTGGGGAACATTCCCTGTCTGAAACCCTGGAGCAGGGGTCAACAAACTTTTTCAGCAGGGGGCCGGTCCACTGTCCCTCAGACCTTGTGGGGGGCCGGACTATATTTTTTTTGGGGGAGGGGAATGAACTAATTCCTATGCCCACAAATAACGCAGAGATGCATTTTAAATAAAAGGACACATTCTACTCATGTAAAAACATGCTGATTCCTGGACCGTCCGTGGACCAGATTTAGAAGGCGATTGGGTCGGATTCGGCCCCTGGGCCTTAGTTTGGCTACCCATGCCCTGGAGAGTCACTGCCGGTCACTATAGCCCAGTGGGTCCCAACATTTTCCCCACCCATGGAACACATGAACACTGCTGAGGGTCTTGAGGGACTATGTAATTATTTTTCTGCCCATTGTAACCACTGTAAATCTGCTCTGCTAGACACAGTGTGATTTTTGATTGTATCCCGCCCTGTGGAACGCCCTCCCATCAGATGTCAAAGCGATAAATAACTACCTGACATTCAGAAGACATCTTAAGGCAGCCCTGTTCAGGGAAGTTTTAAATCTGTGATATTTTAGTGTATTTTTGGTTTCTATGGAAGCCGCCCAGAGTGGCTGGGGAAACCCAGCCAGATGGGCGGGGTACAAATAAATTATTATTATTATTATTATTATTATTATTATTATTATTATTATTATTATTTGTATTGCTGGTTTTCATTGTATTTTTATTGCTGCCCTCTCCAGTTATGCTACTGCTATCTCCCAGTCTAACCTACCTCACAGACTTGCTGTGAGTATAAAATGAAGGTAATGGGGGAGATAACCGTGTATGCTGCCCTAAGCTATAACAGAAAGGTGGAACATAAATAAAATGTGGATAATATAGCAATACTATGTCATCTAGTTAATGTTGCTGTTGTTAAAATTTATACCCCACCTTTCCACAAATGATAGATTAAAACAGTGGGGTTTTTTGTGGGGGTTCTCAAGGGTATGCAGTACTGGCACCTCATCCCCATTTTATTTTATTAAATTTATATACCACCCTTCATCCCAAGATCTAAGGGCACTTCACAGAATAAAATCCAAGATAAAGCACAAGAAAATAATTAAACCAAAACAATAACCTGCCTTCCCACTGATACATTTAAAAGGCTGTAGGATATTAATCAGCCAAAGGCCTGGTTGAAGAGGACTGTTTTCACCTGGCACCTGAAAATATGTAATGAAGGTGTTAGGCGAACCTCCATGGGGAAAGCATTTCACAAACACGGAGCCATTACACAAAAGGCCCTGTCTCATGTTGCCACCCTCTGGACCTCACGTGGAAGAGGCACACGAAGAAGGGCTTCAGATGATGAAGGGACAGTTTATCATGATGGGGAGAGGCGGTTCTAGAAGAAAAGCACTGGTTAAAAGTGTGGCACGTACCGTAATAACCTCATGGTGAGCGCCAGCACCATTTTTCCCTAGAAGGAAAGCAGTGGATAAAATAATTAAGTGAAAGTTCCAGTACAGATGCAGCCTGGGAGACAGCTCTACTGGAAGAGAAGGTTTCAGTAAGTGCCGGAAAGGCAAGAGATATGGCACCCGTCTAACATTAGTTCATAGTAAGTACCTGAACACAACCTCAACTTGCTAGCTGAGCAACTAGGATTTCATTTTCCTGCTAATAAGCTAATTCTACAAGTAGAACCTATAGGAAAATGTCCCAATCTGGAGTGCTCTTCTTCAACCATGCCTCTTCTTGCATATTCTGACCCTGCCCTGCAACAGTCAGCTAGAATTCCTTGACTGCTCAGTCCCCATTGGGCTGTTTGGGGATTCCTCCCCCTTTCAAATATTTTTTAAAAAATACTTTTCCAAAGTTGGGGGTTTCCACAGGCCTGTTGATACTTCCCTCCCATGTGTGAGATTTGCTGTTTTGGCTATATAAACAACAACGCTCACTCACCTCTGAACATGATTAAGAGTGAAGGGGGCAAAATAAATTTTCATACTTCCCCCTCGCCAACACACACATTGTTCCAGTTATTTCTCACAACCTGAATGCTTGAAAAGACTAAAGTTAACGTTACAGCAGCAGAGATGGATGCTGCAAATAAACTTGGTGGTTTTTAATCCTGACCATCTTTCAAAAGGAGGATTTAAAACTTGCATCATGTCAGTGCTCCAGAGTGAGATCCAACAGTTACTTCTGCCATTCGAAAAGTTTAAAAAACTCCTTGTTGCGTTTTTATATACAGCGTCGTTTGTTGGATTTGGTTTTAATGATCCGGTTTTTCCAGGCAATTTCTTTAACAACATTACAGTGCGGAAAGAGCAAGCATTAAAGAGGTTCTGATGTGACAGACATTTGAAAGAATGTTTCCATCCTGGCTACATTTCTAAGTGTCTATACATGGAGGCTTGAAATCAATAAGCTTCTGCATAAATTATTTCAAATGGGCTATTTGTGTTAGAATCCTCAAAGACTGCGGTTGCCACAAATCCTTACGCTTAACTTCTCAGGGAGAAAGTATGCCATGCATTAAATGCACGGGACCATTTCCTCCTTTAAGAATAGCAACAGTGGCGGTATAAGCCATATTCCAAGTAGATCCATTGAAATCAGCGGCCCCTGGTGAGGATAGACAGTTTTCTATATTGCCTTTTCATTTGGCAGTTCCCTAGACAGCTCAAAATAAAATAAAATAGAATATAGTACATGAGAATAAAAATGCTTCACCATAGCCTTCTTTAACATTAGGCTCTAGCAGGCTGTGACTGCAATGATAATTATTGTCTTTGATGATGTGGCATTGGAGCCAATCTAATATGGCTGAAGGAGTGTAGAAAGTGTTGTTTTTAAGTGCTGCTGCCATCTACAGAAAGTTTCTCCTACAACTGGTTTCCCTTCCACCCCCTATTGCCATGTTGTGTTGTGATAGCAATGGCCGCGTGGTTTAATAGTCCAAAGACAGCGAGAGGCTGTTGTTATTGGAGGAAAACTGAGTAGCGGTCTAACCAACAATCAAGATGGCATTTCAAGTGGCCGTCAATTAATAAATTCACTCTTTGACACTGTTAAACCAAGGCAATGTTCCTTCATGTGCTTTTTAAAAAAATGCAAGCAATAGCTGGTAAACCAGCATGCCTAATTGAACATGGCAATCATATTTCTAATTGAATGTTACTGTATAATTAGCAATGCCCCTTCAGGAATCAAGGGCAGCAGGTTGAATGAAGAGGAGGGAGGAGGTAAGCAGATAAGGAGGACAGCCAAAGCAGAAAACTGAGGTGTACAAGAAAGAACTAGGACCACCTTGACGTTTCAACCCAGACTGGCGCAATTGAGACTGGTGAACAGTTTGCTATAATCACAATGAGTTTTAGAACGTCCCATGCTGATGCACATCACCCATGGAAATGAAGAGCCCACACTCTGGCAGCAGTTCTCTGGGGTTTCAG